GTTTAGCGTCTTCCTTAACAAGCAAAGAGTGCTCAATCACCTCTCTAGGAATACCAGGCATATCGGATGGTTTCCACGCAAAGATATCTTTATTATTTTGAAGAAAGGTGATGAGCGCGCTTTCCTATTTACAATCTAACTTAGCGCCTATTACAGCAGTTTTAGTAGGATCAAAAGGATCTAGAGGAATTTTCTTGGTCTTGGCTTCACTTTCTCCACTCTTTGAGATCTTGGTTGTAGGCACTTCCCCTTCGCTTGCCGTGGTTGCAGCCAGTCGGATGTCTTCTCGGGCGATCGCGATCTCGTGGGTTTGGGCCATCTCACAGCTTTCCTTGTCGCATGTGACGGCTTGTTTGATGTCGCTCCGTAGGGATATGATTCCTCGAGGACCGGGCATCTTCATCATCATGTAGGTATAGTGCGGGACAGCCATAAATTTGGCTAACGCCGGGCGCCCGAGTATGGCATGATACGCCGTCTCGAAATCAGCGACTTCGAAGCAGATGTTTTCTGTGCGGAAGTTCTCCCGAGTACCGAAGGTGACCGGAAGAGTGATCTGGCCGAGTGGCGTAGCGGATAACCCTGGAATGACTCCGTGAAAGGGCGCATTACTCGGTTTCAATTCTGTGCGAGGGATCTGCATGTCGTCCAGGGTTTTGGCGAAGAGGATGTTGAGTGCACTCCCGCCATCGATGAGGGATCTGCGAAGCTTGATGTTGCGAACCACTGGGTCCAGTACCAGGGGGTACCGCCTCGGGTGGACCACTCGGTCTAGATGATCCGAGCGGTCAAACTTGATTGTTGTCTCCGACCACCGAAGATATTGGGGCGTATCAGGCTGAACAGCATTAATCTCCCGTTCGGTCAGCTTTTGTTTTCTTTTAGATTCATAAGCCAGAGGTCCGCCAAAGATGTGGTTGAGCTCCTTGCGATGGTCTTGAAAACCTGTCAGGGCATCATCGTCGTCGTTCTTCTTTTTTGACGTGCTTTGATCTCCGGCAGAGGCCTTCCGTGCATTCTTGGCGTATTGTTCTGCAAACTGTCTGTAGACGAAGCAATCTTTGGCTGCATGATTGGAGTTGGGGTGATGCGGACATTGGGAGTTCATAATCTTGTCAAAGGTGTTGACGCGCGAACGTTGTCGGGAGGATTGTGTAGTAGTCGCAAAAGGTTCCTCGGGTTTACGCTTATGGTCCTTGTGATTGTTACTTCCACCCTCTCCCGTAGTCGGCGCATCTTTCTTTGGCTTCCAAGTGGTACCCGACTGCCTGGACACGATGATGGCATCTTCAGCTTTGGTATACTCGTTGGCTTTGTCGAACATCTGCTTAACCGTCCTGGGAGGCTTGCACCTGAACTTGTCGACTAGATCTTCGTGACGAATCCCCTTGGTGAAAGCGGCAATGATGACGTCGTCGGTAATGTCGGAGATCTTGTTGCGTTGTTCAGAAAAGCGCCGGATATAATCTCGAAGGGATTCTCCAGACTTCTGAATGACGTTGTAGAGATCAAACTGTGTGTCAGGGCGTTCAAAGGTGCCCTGGTAGTTGGCGATGAAGTGGTCGCGAAGTTCCGCCCATGATCCGATCGTGCCACGGGGTAACCCATGAAGCTAGGACTGGGCAGAATCCGCTAGAGCCACAGGCAAGTAGTTTGCCATGGCTTTGTTGTCTCCTCCTGTTGCGCGAATTGCGAGACCGTAGACGGTGAGCCAAGACTCCGGATTAGTGGTGCCGTCATACTTCTCGATTCTAGTCGGCTTGAAGCCGGCTGGCCAATCCACTCGACGCAGGTCATTGGTAAAGGCAGCGACTCCATCCATGTCGTCATCATAGCGATCCGGTGAATGGCGGTGGGCGTAGCCTCGTGCTGGGCGGCGCTGGTTGATCGTATCACGAAGATCAACGGGGCGCCTATGAGGTGGGGAGCAAGGTCGTTCGACTCGGCGCTCCCTGTGTCGTTCGGGAGGCGAGTGGACAGATCGCTCGTCGTGACCCCTACTCCTGCGATTGGATCCCGCGCCAGCGATGCTGAGGCTTGGCTGGTGATAATCTTAAGATCGAAGATGTGGGACTCGGTTGCCAGTCGGGGTGCGGACGCTTGCGGAGTTAACCGGGACCGAGGCAGCAATCATGGTCTTGGTCTGGTTCAAGATGTTGACGACGTGATCAGCTTGGTTGAGTGCGTCTTCCTTGAGGAGGGTGTCGAGGAGAGTGATCGCCGCAACCGCGTTCTGTTGAGGGGTGCGAAAGACCGCTGTCCCCTCAACGTCTTGCTGCCGATGAGTTCTCACGCTCGTCGCCCTGCGTCCAAGGCTCGTTGTCGTCGATCCTCAGCCTCCTTTGCAGCCCGTTCGCGTTCCTGTTGCTCACGCTGCAGCCGTTCTTGCTCTTGTGCTTAGCGCTCCTCTTCTAGTCGGCGTCGCTCGGCCTCCTGTTGTACGCGTCGTGCTTCTGCTTCTCGGGCTTGGCGTTGTTCTTCCGTCTCGTTATCGGCCATGAAGACGCCGAAGTAGAGAGGGGTGTAGTTATCTTCAAAGCTTTCGTCGAAGTCGTCGAGGTCGCGGTTGTCGTAGCGGTAGCCAAATTCATCATACTCTACGATCTCTGTCAGTCGTGAGTTGACGCCGGGGGAGCTGAAGTAGCCTTCCAATTGATCCGTCGAAACCGTACCGAGTGGCTGGAGTATGACGCCGACTTCCTTGGAGCTAGGCCGAATCGGTGCTGAAGCCGGATCCCGCCTAGGCCTACAGGGAGAAGACGTCCTTGTAGTGAAGACGGCAGCCAGATCGTCGGGGAGTTTCATCAGGATTGGCGAGTAAGCCCCATCGTCTTGATCTGGTGGTGTTGAAGTAGATGGGATCTCGTCCGAGTGTTTTGGAGCCGACTCGATCGAGATAAGCTTGGGGTAGATCTCGGCCGAGTTCGGAATACCGAACGGGGCTGAGACCCGGTCTCTCCCTGACTGGTTTGAATCCGAGTCAAGGAGAGAAATCTTGCCGAAGTCGTTGGTGATGAAGTCGAGGCTGCCGAACCGAAACGCCTGCCCGGGAGGGAAGACGAAGTCGTCGATGCCGGAGACGGAACCCATCGCACTAATCGGCGAAAAACTTGACGCTACCCCTACCTGGCGCGCCAACTATCGAAACAAGATTTCGGCAATACTAAAAGGGGGTGGGTATCAAGCTGGAAAAGTGAATGTGTTTAGAGACAAGGAATTTTATACAGGTTCAGGCCTTCTTAATCAAGAAGTAATACCCTACTCCTGTCCGGGGATTAATCCGCCGAGTGTATTATTGATCGTATGATCTGGGAGAAAATCGTGTCCCCAAAGGGACCCAGACCCCTCCTTATATAGGGGAATGGGTCTGTATTACAAAATACAATCCATATCCCTAACGGAATATGTGATTACAGATAAAATACAATCGTAACCGACTAGGATCCCGGATATTTCCTTGACATACAAGTTTAGAACCTAACCCGAGTCCTCTTAAAGATATTCTATCTATATCTGGTATCCCGTACCCAGTCGGACTATATATGCCGTGTAGATATGGGGTATCCATAATCTCCACAGCTGTGTTTAGTTCAGCGCAAAGTTAGAATTTTGGTTGAAATTGGAGATGATATGACTGAAAAGTTGTGTGTTTATGATAGGTTCATGTGATGGAAAAGGACTAAAGTTTGGATCCAAACTTTGGATCTAAACACAGCCTAAGTAACATTATCCTCCCATTATGTGTAATCAGAAGGACTAATGGTTTTGCGACAGTAGGTGACAGAGTGAGGGGGACTGGCAGAGAGCTTGCCTGTTAGCATTATAATTAACTAGAAAATGAGCGTGCCTGTTGGCACGCATGCTAATTTAGCCTCTAATGTTTCATTTAGATATTATTTGGAATATGGGATTTATTTATAGCAATTAGTGTAAAGATTTATATCAAATATATGCAAATATCTTACATTGGAAGTATCCTTTAGTGTTTTCTAGATGAGTTTGTAGAACACCGAAGAATAACATATATCATGCTATAGAATAATATTGTTTTAAGTTTTAACTTATCAGCGGTGAGGATGATATTTTAATACATATAAAGGTGTATTTCCTGAACATTCTACATTGCTTTTGTACTTTTTAAAGTTTAGCATCTAAGTTGTTATGATTAGAATAAAATAGTTTTTATTATATACTTGCTTTCTATTATTTTTTTTAAAAAAAATTTTACTTTTTTTAAGAAATACAGGTTAACTTGTTGGAATCTCTCTTTTCTTTTTGCGGGAAATCTCTCATTTACTTACTATGAAGTTAAATCTGCAGATGCGATAGAATAAAAAATATTTATACCCTCACCTCTTGTATTTGAACCGTCTATATTGAAATTTAATTTTTATATATAATTAATTTGTTTATTTCTTTTCTTCATACAAGTTACCGGTTTAGTTTATGCACATGCATGTAACAATATGTGAGCTTACTGCACGGTTGGCTCGGTCGGCATAGTGCAAAAGCACTGCAATTGCCCATGAACCAACGTAGGCAAGCGAGACGTCTAGAAAGTGCATGATTTTCACACGAGAGGCACACACCGTTACTCCCTATTATTCCTGAATGGCAACGGAGGCATGCATGCTGCACGCACGGAGTTTATACTAGGCCGGTTGTCTAAATGGTGGAGGGACACGTGGCAGTAAATAAACAGGTAAAAGATGGACCAAGCTGGCAAGGAGATTAGCCAGCTTTAGATATATAAACTAGAAAACACAGCGCGGCAAAAGCCGCGCCTTACGGTGATTGTTCTATTTATTTGAACATTTTCTCATGGCCAACAGGTGGAAACAGAGATATATAGTTTAGGGAAGTTGAACAAGGCACTTGACAAAAAATATATAAACATTATTGTCACTAAAGAAGAAAAAAAATTCAACACACTCCAAATTTGTTTGGTACTTTTTATTTCAAATTCCAAACATACGTAATTTTTGGAGGCACGCGTAGCATATATTCAGTAAAGAAAGTTTCATATAAACTAACTATTCAATAAAATTCAAGGGTCTATGCATTTTCTTTCTTGCCTTCTTTGCTGGCAAGAGTTTTCTGCTAGGAACTTGATACATATTGGACCAGTTTAGCTAGAGATCTGGTGTGCTCTCAATAACACTAAGCCCAACTTCCTTAACATCAACAACATTATAGCGATCCTCTTTGCAGAGAAACTTAAGAGCAACCTGGTAGCCATCCCAGAAAGAAAAATCCTTCACTTTCTCTCACCTCTCCAAGATATTCAGCAATTATAGGCTTTGGATTTATCTTCATTGACTTTAGCCTGACAGAGTTTCGGAGAATATAAAGTGCCAGCTCCAGTTGATCTTTCTGACCATAAAATCCTGTAATGTAGATCATTTTAAGATGGGAATGAGGGTGTGAAGGAAGACTCCTCAACTCAGCATGATCCTCACTATAAAAAGATCCAGTAAGAGTCACCCAAAGAAAAACAATAGTCCCACGTTTGCTATCATTTGATAGAACTTTCACATCTCTGAAAACAAAGAATGGACTTCGGCAGCCATTGATCATTTCTATTTTGCAAATTAATGTTAAACCAAGTGATGGTGCATGCTAGTCTGATTATTAAATCTTTATTCTTTGATGTTTGCAATATGGTAGTTAGGAATGGAACTAAAGACTTAGAATATAGGTGGCGGCATAGTGATGACTGATATTGCAATAAAATCATATGATCAGCCTTGAGCAGCTCTCAATGTTGACATTGACCAAAATTAACTTATTTTATTATCATAAGGATCCAAAGAAGAATGACAATATGGCATGGCATACAAAGGGATTCTAGTGAAGGCCAATCGACGATATTGACTAAGATGATATGATACAAATATCATAGCAGCAATATGGAAGCAACATATGGGTAGATGAAGCACTCACTCTCAAAGCCAACTTTTTTAACTTGTTCATTGCAGAGAATTGTTTGGGCCAAGAGATAACACTGTTATCTAGAGCTTGATAAGTGGCAACTCCATTTTTCACAGATCCAAGGATGTCCTGATATTAACATATATATCAGTCAAAAAATCAAAAGGTTTGTGCATATTAAATAATTAGTGAAAATAAAAATTATGCATCAATATATGTTATGACAAAAATGCAGAGCTACTCAGCTATATAGACAGGCAATGAAACAAAGGGCCAACAAATTTAGGTGAAGAAATATGTCAAATATACTTAGCACTTCATGGTCCTTCAAACGCTCTGAAGAACAATGAGAGAGCTTTTTTTTTTCTATAAGATCCTTTGCACTGTCAGATATCTTTAGAACTGATTGAAAATCAATGTGACCCTTCAGAACTGCATCAAATATTCCTTTAGCAATTCCAGAAATATATTGGATTTCAAATTTAACACCTGATATTCCAGAAATGGCGGCACTCCACTAAGCAAAATGTAAAGTACCATTCCAGCTGAACACACATTAGATTCTGTTGGGAATAAGTCCCACATTATCTCCCCCGTCACACATTGGCGCCCCTTAGCCCTGACCGGCCCCACACACGCGCACATATGGGACTCACACCCGCGGTCCACTGACCGGCCCCACACACGGGCACATACAGGTCTCACACCCGCAGTCCACTGGGCTTTGGGCTTACACCACCCTGAGTGTGCACAAGCACTAGAAATTGTGGGTTTGCCTCTGATACCACTTGTTGGCCCAAAACCGGGAGACGTTGGCCCAACCAGGAGAAAGCCTTGCTACACCTCAAAAGCTACCTCAAGAGGTGAGGGCTCCCTCCACTTTTAAGTTTGGTTCAACTTCCCCTAGATTAGCAATGTGGGACTATTTCCAACAGATTCTAGTACATAACAACATAACACTTGTGCAGCACCTCTCAGTAAAAACCTGATATTGTAAAACGGCAAATTTAAGTAGAGATAAAAGTCAAAAACTAATTTGTAACCACAACACTTCACACATGAGCTGACACATACAATGCAAGAACTGTCAAGGAAGATGGATAAACAACAGAATATAATTAGGATATGGTCTCGATTCTGTTGGCATTTAACTACTATCCACAGATTATACAGCAAAGAAGGCATATACACATTATGTGTTGATCTGTTACTCTCTTAGCATTAAAAATAAACCACTACACATGCATTAAAATGTGACATGCATATACCTGGTTTGAAGAACACGGATAGACCAAAATATATTGCGTCTATATCATCATCTCCTTTTTAGCTCGCTGTAATGCCCTTCTCCTGAACGCCACCACCGACCTCCTCGCTCCCATCCAACGACGAGGAGGAGGGGCCAGCGGCAGGGACGAAGCTAAGTAGTGTTATGGGGTTCCTAGGCACCCGGTTGCAAAAGAAAAATTAGTGCTTAATACCCCTTAGTAACCATATGTGCACCCCCTCAGCTAAGCTTGGTGTACCCCCACGCTAGAAATCAGGCCATTGAAGCACGAACAGCCTACAACCATAACCACGATAGGAGCCCAGTTCAGTCCTGCTTGCCTCATCAGCGTGAGGACGTACGCACACGCACGCCTCTTCTCTTTTTTTTTCTTTCTGGCGACTCGCTCTTCCTCTTTGTCCCTACCAGTGCCGACGCCTCTTGCCGCTAATGCCACAATTAATCCTCGCCTCTTACCGCCAATGCCATAATTAATCCTGGATGACTAATTAATCGACGCCTCAGCAAGATGATGGGATGTCACCGAGGCTGGGCACAGGCAATTCCTTGCCTCCTCTATCTTCTGTTCTATTTGCTAATTCTTTACCAGTCAATGGATTCATTTGAATAGCTCCTTCACTTTTCAATTACGCGATAATAGCTATCTTTTTTTCCAGATCGAATGGTTATGGTTAGTGCAGTTTTTTATCTCTGCTTCTTTGTTAGTGCATTCCACTGTTATTGCTGATGATAACAACACGCAAAAAAATTATAATTTACTATAATATTGTTTTAAAAAATATATAAATTACTCCCTCCGTTTAAAAATATAAAAAGTTTTAGAGTTGGACACGATTATTAAGAAAGTTTGGATGAGTAGTGAATGTAGGTGGGAAAAGTGATTGGTTGAGAAGAGAATATTGGTGGATAAATTGTTATATATTTTGGGACAAATTCTAAACGCTAAAAATTGTTATATTTTAGAACGGAGGGAGTACTAGTGGTGCTGCTGGTGCACCCCCTCCCCTGGGCAGCGGTGTGGGCTGGATCTGCGCCGCAGCCGCTCGAGGAGCCCCGTCGCCATGCCGCCGTCAAGATTGAAGGGAGAGGTGGCGGCATCGTTGGAGCTCATCGCTGCCGGAGAGCTGCTCCCCAATCCCGCGCGCCGTCACCGAGCTCCTCGTCCCCATCCAGCGACGACGAGGAGGGGATAGCGGCTCGTCGGCGCGTGGAAGGAGAGGGACTCGCAGGGCACTCACTGGGCACATGGAGGGAGGTGGGCCAAGGTGGCGTGGATGGAGAGGAGCGATAGCAGCGGTGGCGAGGGGCGTGAAGAGGCGGCGGCGTCGGAGGACTCGGAGCGCACAGGCTGAGGCTCGTGTGCAAGGCGAGAGAGGAGAGATGGACAGATATGGATTAGCTTTTTTTTCAAAATAGACCCTTAAACTTTGTATATTACAACGAGCTCCACCACAGCAATTTTTAACCGTCGATCCGCGATCCGACGGCTGGGGGAAGAGGACAAACGCTGCAATTGCATGATGCCACGTGGAGGGGCTATTAGCTCGAGATTTTGCTCAAATTTCGATAGTAGAGATTAGTCAGAAATATTCCCACAGTTATAAAATATAGCAACCCAAAATCGAACGAGACTCAATCTATAACTATAAATCTGGATATGTCTTATTCGGTCCTAGGTTACTATATTTTAAGACGGAGAGAATAAGCTCTTTATGAGTCCCAGAGTGAGGAGACGGAGAGAATAAGCTCTTTATGAGTCCCAGAGTGAGGGGGACTGGCAGGGAGCTTGTCTGTTAGCATTATAATTAATTAGTTAGAAATATTCCCATCGTTATAGAATATAGCAACTAAAATCGAATGAGACTCAATCTAGTACTATAAAGACATGTCTTATCTGATCCTAGGTTACTATATTATTTTAAGACGGAGAGAGTAAGCTCTTTATGAATCCAGCCAGCAATCAAGAGGTTGGTGCTTTGCTTCAGTTTGAATAATCATTTTGCTTACCACATGAACTTGTTGGAAAATACAGCATTTTAATTTGGGTTTAATATATTCTAGTAGTATAAATAGATGAGGATCGAAAATGAATACATAAGCAATCATGGTGATCGTGTAACACAAGTCGACGAGTATCCCTCTATCCCAGAAAAAACCAACCTTATAAGTCCAATGCAAATTTAAAATACTAGCAGCAAAAATTTAAAGCAATTGTTCCAAATTTAAAATACCCTCATTAAAGTACATCCAATCATTAACATTTAAAAAAAATAGGGCGAGGGGGCGAAGCATCTAGTCCCTATTATTAATTTTGGTAATTAATGATAAGTGCTAATTATAGACTAACTATTCTATTTGAGTGATATAATTGAGTTAGAACCACATGATGTATATGCCAATGATGTATATGCCAAGGATGATTACCATGGATTAAAATTTATGGCACAAAGAAATTAATGGAATAAGGTGGTAAATCTAGCCTGATTATTTTAATCGATCGAGGCGTTGGGCGATTGAATTTTTGCTAAGTTTATTTCTAACTTTGACATACTATCAAGAGGGGTAGTGACTTTGGTAAATAAGTGATCAAAATAACACAGTAGGTCATTTGCATGAGGGCTTGGTTCGATAATTTTATTCATCTTATTTTTTGTCCAAGGTCGGTTTGACCATGGGCTCCAGGGCAGTCTGACTGGCGTGCCCTAGTCTTTCTGACCAGGCTGGGCTCGGTCTAACCGGGCACCTGGCAAGTTGGTTGGATGGCCACGTCTTGGGGATCCAAAGTCACCAGAGCCGATGGCAGTCTGACCGAGCCGGGGCCAGTCAGATTGGAGCCACCAACAGTCTGACCGGCAAGTATTCCCACGTGCATTCAATGCACAACAACGGCTAGTTTTCTAGGCGTTGCCCTAGAGGCCAATCTGACCGATCACCCCTTGGCAGTCTCACTGGCAGGCATCTGAGAGTTAGGGTATTGGCTCCAACGACTAGTTTTGATGGGTGGGGTATAAATACTCCCCCACCAGCAACGAGGGGCCTCTCTTGGCACACTATTCACTTGCATATACTCAATACATTCACTCTTTGACCAAATTCGTTGTGATTGTTTGAGAGTAGTTTGATTCAAGACAAGTGCATTGCATTATTGTTTAAGCTAATGTGATACTTGATCATCTCTAAGCCGGGTTGTTATTACTTTTGGAGGTTGCCGCCTCCTAGACGATGTTGGTATTTGCTACGGTCACAGGTAAATCCGCAAGTGCACGGATACGCTATAGCATGCTATCCATGAGCATTTCCAAGGGTATATATTTATATTTCCGAAGAGAAAGCGGCGACGCAAAAATATAGTTTATACATCATTAATCAATTTATAATTAACTCATCATAGTCTAAACATGGGTTAGAATAAATATGATTGAGTGTATTATGTATTATGCCTTGTAAGTAAATACATAAGAGAATTACGATACAATGTCTAGTATACACTTAATACATAATACATAAGTACTTACAAGGCCTAAAGGGTCCTTGGGACAGACCTCCACGAGGTCAGTAAAATTCACTCATACCCTCTATTTTTTGCCTTTTTCACCCTATACTTGTAGGATTAGGTAACCAATTGTGGTGCAATGTCTCTCGTATGAATCCTGTCTCTAGTTAGTTGCTTGTCAATCTCTTCCTTGATGCACAACGTACTCTTGATCAAGTGACCCACATGATAGTACAAGATTTATTTTTCATCATAAGATTTTAATGCAAAAGTAATTCAGTCAGTATGCCCCCAGCGTTTTTTATACAACTAAAATAATAAAAATGATTAATCCTATTGAAGTATAAAAATAAGTAACCCATAGTACGCTCACGATAAGATGAACATACATGGTTGTCTTATAACCAAACTTGCGAAAGAACATACGCGTGGTCATAAACATGGTTGCTTAAGGTAAAAGTATAACTGACCGCTGCAGACTCCCTTCATCGTACCACAAACAAGCAGCAATTTTGCGAGTGAGTACCTAACGTTTGAGCTTTCAGAATGTGATTGTTCCTGTGCAGCAGATAGACCACAAGACAAACCCATATTTGATATTTCTGCATCTACATTATTATTCTCAGTAAAAGGAAAAAATAATCAACACCACACCTCGCCCAACAGGCCACAAGCCCACAACCATATATGTGATTTAAGAACAGACCAAAAAAACTGCACATTTACAACTCTACCTGATCTAAACCTGATCTATACAGTGCACTCCAATGTGTCGTGTCAATAATTTGGTATGGTATCTCTAGTATGACCACCATGTATAAATTGTATACCAATTTCAGTCAAGTAAATTTCAGGAGTCCCTCCACCCCTCAGGGAGCCGCCACCGTCTGTGCCAGTAAATCGACACCCGGGACCAAAGAGGGAACATGAAGCTGTAATCTGCAGCCTCATCAGGTAGTCCACCTACTGTCAAAGGCAGCCATACATATCGCGAATCTCTCAGCTCGGATGGGCTCCACCGATCAGCCATGAAGATGAATGAACCTGACAGTCCTGGAATCGGCAACACAAATGTACTCTGGGAGAAGAATGTTGTTGATCTGAATATGTCATTCCCTCCCACACAAGGATTTCCCAGCGTCTCCCAAGGTCCCATTATTGCTGTCGCCGCATGAGCTAGTGCAGTGTTTGGTGCCCAGCCAGTGCAACCAGAGGTTATCATGTAGTAGGTGCCCTCATACTTGAAAAGCGCAGGAGCTTCTCGATGTTGTGCAATGAGAAGCCTTCGCATATTATCAGTTACATCAAGGTAGTCATCAGTTAACTGACCAATGTGGAGCTCGCTGTTGTCCTCAGAAGAATATATCAGGTAGGCCTTCCCATTGTCATCCTTGAAGATGGTCATGTCTCTACTTTCACAGTCATGTGGCTGCTTGCTGTACAGGTAACTGAATGGGCCTGTGGGAGAGTCACTGATGGCCACACCAACTGATGCTTTGGTGTAATTTGTATCGTCTATGTGCATCCACATAACATATTTGCCAGTCCGATCATTATATATAACTTTGGGTCTCTCCAGGACATTGGATTTATGGAGATCATGTGTCACATTCTTTTTCTCACCTCGGAGAACAACTCCTTCATTTCTCCACGTCCACAGGTCCTTTGATGAATAGCAACTTACTCCCACAATGTCAACCTGGAAAAGGTTATCATGGTTAGGAATGACATAGGGACGCACAGAAATCTATACAGAACAGTATAACAGAATATCACAATTAATTACAATGACAGTCACTAACTCTGACACCACTAGCTCTGACACGCTACAGATGTCACTTTGACTCTGAAATACTACGTGTCTCTGCAGGATGGTGCATTTTGCTCTTGAGGCCGAGTTTAGTTCCAAATTTTTTCTTCAAACTTCGAACTTTTCCATCACATCAAAACTTTTCTACACACACAAACTTCCAACTTTTCCGTCACATCGTTCCAATTTCAACCAAACTTCCAATTTTGGCGTGAACTAAACACACCCTGAGACAGAAAATGATGATTGTTCCCTATCTATCTAGAGACAGTGCTCCGCATATCAGGACAACCAAGTAAAGCACTACATAGGGAATCCTTACTGAACAGATAAAAACCCATTTTTCAGAACCAGCCCTTTTGCTCATTTCTAAAACCCAGAGACATAATTTCCAATCATGCTGGTTAGTTAACAATATCAGATGCCATGGCACTATTGAAGTCACTTTGAAGCTCTTTATCTATTCTTTTCATCTCTGCAATCTATGTATATTAGACTAAATTCCTAGTGGCCTGCCTTGACACAAGCCAGGCTTTTCCGTACCTCCCCAACATAACATAATTGTAACATGTCCACTATCAATGGGGTGTCACCAACAGAATGTAAAAGGGCAGGAAAACTTGGTCCATCCATTAGCACACACTACTCCAAAGAAACATGCATACTACATGTATTAGATTTAGGTTCTGTGAGAAGTGCTACCCAAGTGACTACTCCTATCTAACTCATGTCAAAAGCTCTTGCACACATAAATGATGTCAAAATATGGAAAGCATAAGAAAATTTTCAACCTACCCGATCAGCTCCCTTGCTGTGAGCTTTGTATGTTTTGCCATCCTTATTCTCCCCATACCAGAAATAGGTCTCGGTTTTCTCATCGTACAGTACACCTCCTCCATGAGCTTGGATTGGATTACCATCAGTGTCAAGCCAAACTCTCCCTGGGTAGTAGAAGTACATGCTGTCATTCCCACCATTGATTGGATCTATAGCCATGTTGCGTTCTGGAAAGAACATGTCGTGCACCGCAGAAGACTCATCCAAGAACTCATCCACTACAGAAGGTGGCTTCTGCTCCCCCTTGCGCCGCACAGCCCGGGGATTCCTCCGGCTCCGGGGAGGCGATACCCGGAACTTTTCCTCCTCAACCTCCTCCAGCTCGCTTACAATTGACCGATTGATCTCATGTATGCTGGTGCTCTCATCCTCCTTATGTATGATAAGAAGATGGAAATTCACAACTACTACCAGTGCTGCAAGGCTCCACACTGCAAGAGTTAGAGATCGGTGGCTCGCCGCATAGCAGCGGAAAGCTAATGCTTTTGGCTGCTTGCTCCTCAAACCCATGCTGGCACCTTTCTGCTCCAACTGATAATCGCTGCAATAAATTGAAGGAACAGTTCAAGGGCACAAAGAATGAATCAATGCACAAACTTATCTCTATATCAAATCAGGAAACAAACAGTTGGGGCAATTAAGAAGGGAAATTCTCCACATTAGTCCGGTATTCACTGTCCCCAGATTTCATTCCCAAAATTAGTGATGCGCCAACTCAGAAATGTTGAATGCCTCATGACAATTACAGAAATCTTTCAGAAACAAGCAAGTGAAATCAAGAATCATATCATGGGCTAAACAATGCAGACAGCCCACCCGCTCCCCAGTGAGAAAGGCAAACTTGGACCAAGAAACCTAACAGAAGCAACCCAGTACCAATAATTCAGCAAAACATGGAGCACGTCCGTAGATTTGTCCCAAGGCTACAGAATTACCCAAGAATCTAATCACTTGCTTCACAGAACAAATCCAAAAAGAAAGGAAGAAAAAAAAAGAGAGAGAGAGAAAGAGAGAGGGAAGAAGAAGCTCACCATGGCAGGTTGATCCAGAGTAGCAAGGAAGCAAAATTAAAGGCTAAACTAAACTAAACCAAACCCAATCTAATCAAGCAAGTACCTACCAACCAGCACTAGGACAAATGAAAAGCCTTCCCCCATCGAACAAACCAATTTAAAAAGAATCAGGTGAGGAGGCTCACCATGGGGTGTTTCTCGCTGCTCTTGTGAGATCTCGGCAGCAAACGGATCAGGCCCCGACACCCTCCGATTATCCTCGCTGTGATCCAAACCCCCCCTACCCCCTGCAGGGACAGGGAGATTGTGGTGGCGCCCGCCGTTGCTGGAGCGGCTGGCAATGGCCCCCGCCTCTCCTCCCTCCCTCGCGCTGCCTGCAAGGCTGCAAAGTAGTTGGTCGTTGTGGGGGAAAGGTCGGGCGTCAAGCCGTCAAGTAGTTGGCGGGTGCGTGCGTGGGGGGATGGCTGACCGGAGGAGGGAGGGGACACCACCGGACACCTGTACTGGCGGTGTGCGGCGGGGATGTGGTGCGGTGTCGTGGTTGGGGGCTTTGTGGTCTTGTGCGGCAGCAGGTGGCCGCCGTGTTTGATGTGGGTTGTGTGTGCCTGCCCTGTGTAGATTCTAACTTTCCTACACAAACTTCTAACTTTTTCGTCACATCAAATTTTCCTGCACACAAACTTTCAACTTTTCTATCATATCATTTCAATTTCTTCAAACTTATAATTTTAGTGTAGAACTAAACACAGCCCAACTCTGAAGCGGAAGGAAGGGGCGACGAGACGCGAGTCATGCGATCCAGTGACGGAGGACTTTGGCAGCTGGAGATTTTTTTTTCGGGGGATTTGGGAAGTGACGAAAATGGAAGAAACTTCAAATCAGACGTCCCATCTTCTCCAGAAAATTTAAATGGTCAAATGTTTTAGTCGTGTGATCTTATTTTTATATTATTTGATTATTGAAAAATGGGTGTATTATTTTAGAAATATGCTACAAACACGAACAATCATAACACATATACTCACCCCTTAAACACATATACGCATACCGTATATGTTTCTAAGATATACATCTTTAATGGACTAAGCCGGCATATCTTGAAAATAAAAAATCATACGGTATTGTAATAAAATTATATATTTAAGGGTGACTTTATGTTATCATAATTAATACATCACTCATGGAAAACAGTAAAAAGCGTGCGGAAAACCAAATCCATATCAAGATATTACGTAGGTATACGCTTTTAAATTCATGCGGAAAAAAAATAGAGTGCAAAGGTCTCAAACATAGCATACCGAAAAAAATACAGCGCAAAGGTCTCAAACATAGTTGTGTTGTCCATAGTTAACATGGTTGATAAAATGTACGGGTGTCCAATTCATAACCGCATTGTTGCATGGCCACACTGCCCAGGATTTAAGCCTGTCACGAAGAGAATCTCTAACAAACTACCAAAATCAAACTCTGCAAATACTATATAACCACAGAACTTTGATTAATTATACTTCGCTGCTGCTGCTGCTGCTGCTGCAGCAGCAAGTTGAGATTAATTATACCATTTATTTTTTAAAAAGAATGCCACAAAACTTTATTGAGGGCTCCTATAGAACAAAGGATTTTTAAAGAATTTACAGGAATTCAATCCAATAGAAAATTTTCCTATGGGGTCATTTGGATGATGGGAACAGCTAAAAAAAACCTATGAAATTTCTTTGGATTGGTTCAAAACAAGGAGGAATTCTAAAATGAGATTCATCCTATTGGAAAAAATTCTTTGTGTTCACCTCTCTTTTAATTCCTGTGTCACTCTATCCAAACGGCTATTCTCGTAGTTCTTATGTGTTTTTCCAATCCATAGGAATTGGATTTGAGGTGTGTCATAAGATTTATGGGATTTAGCTGTTTAGGGCATTTCATATCTGCATTTTTCATGTTCCTACATTTTAAGAATCAAAAAATAGCATGGTACATCAACCTAACATCTACCTACCTCGGCGAACACACGAAGTTGGTGGTGCAGATCAGCAGATGGTACTAAAATGCCAATGATGCTTCAGTCTCTTTCCTAAAAGGGGACTCATTGCCAACTCGTAACATATGTAGAGAGCCAGAGAGGGTAAGAGTCATCGAGGCATCAAGCAACGCCTGGACAACATTGGCTCGAAGCAAATTTTGTTCTTCATACTTACAAGAAAGCTAGTCCTTCAAGAAATCAAGAAATGAAAAGTCGAATCCTTCGTCTGATGGGTGCGTTGTCAATACCAGGTTACTTACCAACCTAGAAATCATGTTAGTCTTGGGCTCTTGGCCAGCCATCTAGAAATGTTGTTGGCTGGAACACAGGCGGATTAGAAAGATGAAGTTGCATACAGTGCATCTGGTATGTATGATATGGTAATGCCTTCAACATGAAGCTGTTTTCTCGTGTTAGTGGAAAAAAAATTAAGCCTCATATTCGATCTCCTCTTTTGAGCAGCCAAACCTTAGGACCCAAAGCATGCTTCTAAATGAAAATACAGAAATCTCACGAGACAACCCACATAATCTGTATGTAACTTCTTCCACTGAATCAAAAAATTTCCAATGAGATTGATACAGGCTACAGAATATGGCAAGCAAGCGAATGCATATAGCCATAACCAGAGTTTTTGCGGCCACCACAAAACAAAAAACTAAAAATAGTAGCACAATTACACACCACCAAAACTGACAACCGCATAAAGGTCCAAAGCATTAGAGATCAGTTAAAGAACTTTCTTCTTTATCAGTCTTGACTTGTCAGGTTGCAAAAAAAAGAAAGCACAAACTTTAGACAAATAAACTTCCATCCAGAAAACAAAAACGATGCTGGCTAGTAATCTCAAGAAAGTATTCAGGAAATTAGCCACAAAAACCGAGCCTGCTGCTCGTGATCAAAACCTTGATAGGCGATACATATATATATTGTCTGAATAAAATAGCAGTAAAATAAGTGAAAATCTACTCGGCAGTGACCTCCTGTCCTACCACGACCTCATCTTCTGCAGGCCTCTCGAGCTTCGTCCCAACGTCCTCCTTGTAATCTCCATGAACCTGGAACATGACACAAGCCACATTACAATGCTGATTCATGTCATACAAGGTCAAATGAAAATGGATTAGATTGTAACAGTCACCTCCATAAGCTTGCCCAGGTCAAATTTTGGGGCCTTGAGGATCTTGACTTTGCGCACAAACACATTCTGAAGCGGGAAGATGCTTGATGTGGCCTTCTCGATTTCCTTCCCAATCACCTCAGGAATGAATTTTGACACCAGCTCCTTGAGATCACAGGATGATGCCTGGTTCACCATGATCTCCACCATCTTGCGACGGATCTGCACAGATTACAATCAAACACGATAAACAAGCAGCTCAACAATAGCAGAACAACTATACATCAATTGAATTTGATAAAGAAAAAATAACTATACATCAATTGAAATTACCTGTCGAATCTGGCTTGCTTGAGCATAGCATGTCCGTTTGACTTGATTTGGCCTCCTCTTGGTGAAGCCAATGCAGAAGAGACGCAGCATGTAGTTATCAGTGGTCTTTACATCCACATGAGCCTCTATTAGCGTCTGCCATTTCTTGACCAATGATCTGAGCTTGTCGGTCGTGAAACTCATGCCCTACAATACAACTGGTTAACAACAAAAATTACAACCTGGAGAAGTAATTTTGCACAGTAAGAGAAGCATTACCCAGAAGTTTGTAAGAACATTTTTCCCCTGCACATCCTCGGCACGTAGTCTGATCTTACGGTACGCCTGATCCTCATCGTTCTGAAGATCAGCCAAGGAGACCTCAAACACACGGTGCTTGAGGCCCTCTGAAGCAATCTAAAATGAAGGAAATATCAAATGTCATCAAACGATATCTAAGATTATGTTGCTGATGACCAAATATGTAAACACAGATAAACAGACAAATAAAGGAACAACTGCTATTGAACTACAACATTCAGAGATCCACTAAGAACGACATGTATTCCTACATAATGCTGCACCAAACCTAAGTCATGAGTGCATCCAATGCAGTGGAGGAACAAAGAAGACTTAAAAGAACACATTAACCACTAACAACACTAGTGTTACTTTTTGTAGGACTATGGATTACTAAAACAGAATAGCGTATCAGCATAAACAGAAAAAAAAATAAGGAAACACTAAACTGTACATTACTGTAGTTCAAATATGTGGAAGTAGAGAGCATTGGACCCAAGATAAAAAAAAGTAGTGTTTTCTGCAATTCAACAATAATAGTTTGTCAACTGTATTACCAAGTTCATCTGAACTAGCATCATCATCTTGAACCAAAATTATTTCTTTATGCTAATTAGACGCCCTGTAGAAGCCTCCATCTTAATTCTATGAGGTATAAAGAGCTAGACATTTTCACATTAATCTGAAAAAGAAAAATCATTTATCTCTGAATCTACAGTTAAATCTTCCAGCCTATTGTGGAATATGTATGTACCATCTGTGAGAAGCATATAGGACAGAAACATGCATACAAGATTCAAATTTTTACTTAGATGCAAAGGTCAAATGCTTGTCAGATTGGTTTTGTGTAGCTTCAACAGGATTCATGCATGAGTATTCTTTTTCTTAATTCCTTTTGTTAGTGCATATAGGACTCGATAGTCTACATGCATATCCTATTGTTTTGCCACAGAACAGAAGAAATGCAAGGTCATGTTAGTCCAACTGTTAATCTCAGCTAATAACATCAAACTGTTCTTGTGTCACCAGTATGGAATAGATGACGTAACATAGCCGTATTGTTTTTAAATACTCCCTCCCATCCCAAATTATAGGGCGTCCCCTTTTTAAAGGAAAATTAAACTCGGTAGCATTTGACTAATAATCATACTAACTATATCTGTACTAAGTATTATGCATGTTATATCACTAGATTCATATTTTGAAGTACTTTCATGTGATGCTAATTTCATATTTGTTGGGATTATAGAAGGAAATAAAATACTGGTCAAAGTATGTTATTGAATACCGTGTAAAAAAATATAGGCCTTATAATAATTTGGACAAAATTGGTTTCACGCCATCGAAAGTTCTCCAGTTTTGCTCTGTACCACTGAAAGTTACTGGTGCACTTAAATACCACCCAAAGTTTGCTCCGTTAGCTTTTATACCACATCTGTGTACCTATTGTTAGATATTGGTTTTTCTTTTTATTTTTTTGCTAGAATATGGAGGTATATGACCATATTGCCCTGCTCTATACATCCAATGTTCTGCATCCAGTTTTTATTCGTGGACAGTCAGGCATTGCGCTTGAGAAGCACGGGCGAGCGGAGGTGGCAGGAGAGGCGCGTTGCTGCACACCTTCACCCAGGGACGACGAGCAGCACCGGCAGGAGGCACGGAGCTGCACGGCTTTGGCACGCGGTGGCCGGGGACGACGAGCGGCTGCACGGCTTCGGCGGCCAGGAAGGACCAGCAGCTCGGGCAGGAGGCGTAGCTGCACAGCTTATGCGCACGCGGTGGCCGGGGTGTCCCTGGGCTGGGGACGACGAGCGGCTCCGACGGGAGGCGTGGAGCAGCACGCCTTCGGCCGTTCGGCGCACGCACATACAGCAGCTTGCCCTTTGCCCTGGTTGCATCGTGCGCGGCGACGAACAGATGAACAGGCCAACGCCACGGATGGATTGGTTGTGCTTGATCTTGTTGACCAGAAACAAGGGCATTTTAGATATGCTTAACGGAAGAAACTCGAACTCAGAAGGAAATGGTATAAAAGCTAACGGAGTAAACTTTGGGTGGTATTAAAGTGCACCAGCAACTTTCAGTGGTATAAAGCAAAACTCGAGAACTTTCAGTGGCGTGGAACCAATTTTCCCTATAATTTGGAACAGAGGGAGTAGCACATAAACAACAATCGAACAGGAAAAGTAACATGCATCTTCTAGATATCTGTATGTTCTCCCAGCCCATACTACAAGTACATCAAACACAAATCAATCCTACATATGCCGTGCTCAAGCACAACAAAGATAGAAACTTGCCAAATCAATGACATGGCCTGTGCGAGGGAACATCACGCAGGAACGACTAAGCAACAAATCCTTAGTGCAGTACAGAACAGAGACCACCCAAGCACAAGCAAGAGAGCAGGCTGATACCTTTGTGCCCTGTGTCCTGGACACGAGCGTCTTCCCGACGTTTCTCACGTTGAACACCGACGGGGCCTTGATATCATACCAATCCTTCTTCGCAAAAGGATCGACGCTGCAAGAAAAACGAACGAGCAGGAAGCCACATCAACACCCATGCGCCATGGCAACCAAGAGCGAAAGGAAGAAGGACGGACGAGGAGGGTGGGGGGGAGAGGTAAACTCACGTCTTCTTCTTGGATCCCTTCTTCCCCTTCGAGATCCGCTTGTTCTTGCCGACGGCCATGGCTGACGCTGCTCCTGCTCCGGTGGTGCTCGGGCGGCGTCAGTGGCGGCGGCGGCGGCACTGCCTCGCTCGCTCTCGTCTTGGGTGGGGCGCGGCGCGGGTGGAACCCTATCTAGGGCGAGGGGTGGGTTTATATACTCATACGTGCGGGGCTCGATTCCGCGGCTGAGATGGGCCGCTTGAATAGAGTGGATGAACGGCTGCGAGGAATAAGTTCACTTTGTCTCCCTTAACTAGTAGCCGAATATGGTTCATGTCCCTAAACCACGATACCGGATATCTCGATTCCTCAACTATTAAAACTGGTGCAAATTGACCCTCGGTGATTTTGGAGGGCGGTTTCGCTAACGTGGCGTCTACGTGACGGTGTTCATCTGGTCTTTGTTACATGTGGCGTTGATGTGGTGCTTAGGTGGTATTAGAATTAAAAAAATACTAGGTAATACCCCGCGCTTTGCTGCAGGATTCATTGATGAGTATATGTTAAATATTGTCGAAATGATGAAAGTTGAAATGTTGAGAAAATAATGTGAGGAAGATAATTTGACACATACTTGTTGATCTCTATAATATAGTATTGTAGATGATGTGTCATGCTTACATGGGTTTTAAATAGGCTAGAATAGGAATTGCTAGTGAGTGAAGAAGTGGCATACTTGCATAGGATTTTAAATGGGCTAGAATAGTAATTGCTAGTAGGTGATGATGTTGCATGCTTGCATGTTGAGCTTTAGCTTCTAATAATTTTAGTGGGTACCAACTATGTAGAAAGTATAGATATGTGGAACCCATTTGTCATTCACACCAAAAAAATTGTGGAACCCGCACATGTGGGGTCCACATGTCATCCTTTCTCCTTCCTTTCTTCCTCTCCCCTCTCTCTCTCCCTTCTCTCTTTCTCTCCCCCTTTCTCTTCCCATAGGGAGGCGGCGTGCGGGCGAGGGCCGGAGTGGCAGTGGGGGGCATTGGAGCGTCCACCACTCCCTTCCACTTCGCCACGTCACCTCCATGTCCTTCCACTTCGCCTCGTCGCCTCCATATCATCGTCCGCATCCCCTTCCCCCCTCTCCCGCTGCTCCGGCTATAAAAGTAATTTGTAATTTTTAATCAAAACATAATAATGTGAAATCTTGTTATAAAGATTTAGTTGTTACGAACACAATGATGTAATTGGATCGTAGATCGAATGAGTATTTTAAGAGAAAATTTTATTTGAAGCATAAGTAGTATGAATATATTTTCTACTTGCTTGATGGACTAGTACTATAGCTAAGATATTCAGACAAACATCTAATAAGCCTCTTGATAGCACTAAAATGAGAGGCCTCTTAATTTAGATTTTTGCCAAAGAAACGTAGGTGTGACATAAGGGGTTAGAAGATGAAAGTGGCAGTGAACCGTCAAAAATGAGAATAAACCATAATGGTAGAACACCTCACCGCATCCCTTAGCTTAGAGAACAAGAGAGGCGGGTGCGGGAAGTGAGGACCTCGGTGACACCATTGGTGCCTTCAAGTGCCAACGAGTTCAGGGTGGACGCATTAGGAGGGGAGCAGTAGCATCAAGTGACTAAGCATGAGGAGCAATGCGTCAGGACTCGGGAGGAGGATAGGGAAGAGGAAAGGAAGGTGATTGTAGGAGGATGAATCTTTAAGCGATCTAGATCGTCCAAAAGTTTACCGAGATGAGGAGGAATTTTCCCGTAAATGTTATCGGCAGTCCCACTTTTTTTCTTCAAGAATTTCATTAACACTATTGAGCCAGATTATTGGCTCAATGCTGAAAATCCAAGATTATTGCAAACGCGGCGTCTAAGACCTGAAATATGATGCAACCTATTGCTCTGATCTAGCTTTTGAAACATAATCTAGCATTACAGTAAGCACTGCTGGAGAAAGGGACTTTAGTCCTGGTTCGCAACCGTTTTTTGGATGCATAATCCGCCCATCTTTAGTCCCGGTTGAAATAATCGGGACTAAAGATGCATATTAAGTCAAAAAAATGTGTGGGATGTAGAATTCGAACTAAAGATCTCTCATCTCAACCCTTACGTGCGTTACCATCCTACCTACTACACACATCTAACTTAGATGGCGATGTTTTCTTTTTAAACTAACCCTAGAGGCATCTTTAGTCCGGGTTGGTAACACCAACCTGGACTAAATATAGCCTGACATGAGCTAACAGCTATTGAATCGTGGCTAAAAATATGATTTTTGGCATCCGATCAAAGATCAGTTCTTTAGGAGTGAAGCCTTTATACTTCTATAAATCATGTTGATACGAGATATTTAGCCTCTCTAAATAACGCCCCAAGCATAGAGCTTTGTAGGCCATTACCTTAAGGTAACACGCCCCTGCCAACTTCGGAAGCATAAAAAAGAGCCGTGCGATAAGCTTCCATTCCAGCATCTGCTTCAACCACCTGGCCATCAGTATCCCTAACAACAAAACCCCAGCCACCTTGAGCGGGTGTTATCATCAAAATCACCATCAGTGCGTTAACCTTCAGGTTAGGGTCATCTGGTTTCTGCCAAAATTTAAGCATGATGTCCCTAGTAAGTTCAGGTCTCCCAAAAGATTCAGCCAATTCAGAAATTTAGCCCACAACCACTACTAGAAAAAACATAAACAGGCCAAAACGAATTTTCCAGGTGGCCATCTACTTCCCCCGCACTTCAAGGCCTGTGAAAATACATGATTTTTGCAGGCGGACATTTGTCCCGCCTGCAAAAATGATTTTCGCAGGCGGCATCTCCATCTTCGCATGCGCTATAGCCACCCGCCTATGAAAATGTTATCGGCGAACAAAAAAAAACACCACTCACCCGCTGCCACCCTCCCTCCTCTGGCCGTGCCGTCGCTGTTGCCGTCGCCACTGTTCGTCGGAGCCACCGTCAACGGCGCCCCTCCCCCAGCCACTCCTCCTCGAAGCCGACGCCGCCTTTGCCCTCTGAGCCGTGCGCGAGAGAGAGAAGGGTGGTGGAGAGAAATGAGTGGTGGAGAGGATGATGGTGATGGAGAGGATGATGGTGGAGGAAAGGATAAGATGACTTAGATATTATTTTAGGGTGAGTTACAGGCACGATTTTCGGAGGCGGACAACATAAGGCATCCGCCCTGCGATTAGCGGATGCCTTATCTAGTCCGCCTATGAAAATGATTACCGCAGATGGCAGCTTATATCATCCGCCTGCAAAAATCTATTTTCGTAGGCGGATGACAGTCTCAACCCCCATTTACATTTTCATAGGCGATCATTTGGTTCCGAGAGGCCTATCCGTTTGGCAAAAATATATCATCACCTGGAAAAATGGTTTTTCTAGTAGTGAACAAAACCACACATAGCTATGTTACCGACTTCTGAGTTTCACCAGAGTTGACTGCATTTCGTTCTGACCAAAAAAACTAGGTGGCTAATCTTTTTTCAATCTCCGTACTTTGTTAATATGATAATAGGATGAATGAGGCAATTGCAATAGTTTAACCAATCAATCGATATAAGATAGAGCATAGGAATATCTTCCTCGGTAGCTAATGTGTGAGCGCTTTAATTATATACCAGTAAACCTCTCAACGGATTCGGTGCCTTCTCAGTCAAAGTTATCACCCTCAGAACACTCATAGAAAAGAGACCTGGATGATCTGACTTTATACAACAAGTTATCATGTCTCTGCTAGATTCTGATAAGTCACTCGAAATTATCAAGTTATAATTGTCTCTATATTTCCTATTTCGATGAAACTTAGTGCATGTTACAAGTTGCTTCAACTAGTTCCTTGTAACTACTACATCCGTTCCAAAATATAATAATTTTTAGTTATGAATTTAGACACATATTTATTCAGATTCGTAACTAAAATGCTTATATTTTGGGACGGAGGGGGTAGCTCTTAAAAAGTGTAGTTCTGTAGTAGTAGAAGTGGATGTTTGTGATGTTTGCACAATGATTATGCGGAACTAGTTCTACGGTTGTGTTCTTCCCCTACTTTCCCAACTCACTTCCTCTTTTTCTGCATGTATACTTTCCAAACTACTAGAAGTGGATGTTTATGATGTTTGCATAATGATTTTGCGAAATTAGCTTTAAAGTTGTGTTCTACCCCTACTTTCCTAACTCAGTTTACTCTTTTTCCGCATGCATATTTTTCAAACTACTAAATGGTGTGTTTTTTTAAAAAAAAGTTATAGAAAAATCTATATATATTAAAAATCCATTAAACATCCTACAAACGCTCTCATACCTCCATGTGGCAATCCTGTAAACGCTCCTAAGTCGCCACATGGCGTTTTAATAGATTACAAACATGTCGTAAGTATGAAACAAGTAGCGTCAATGTGAACCAATTAGAGTAGCTTTATTGTGTTGGAAGTTTTTTTTAAAAAAAATAGAGCCCTTAAATTATAAAAAGGAAAACACCTTACTTTTAATTTACACTTAATTTGTGAAATATGTTCCTAAAACAAGCTAAACCTATCATCTATTAAAGATGATTAAGCGAATTATAGATAATTTCTTATAGGGGCAAATTAATTTTTGTACAATACAATGATAACAAAATAGATTGGAAAAACGTTATTTAAGCAATACCATGAAGAATTTCTTTGGAAATCATATTTTTGAACTACAACACGAATAATCCAATTGGTGTTATATGTTCTTATAAGTTTCTAACGCAATCTAATATGCATGCCCCCGCGTACTAGTTGCTTTTAAAAATCATATTAACTCTTTTTTTCAAAAGTAGCTAATACTTAACTAATCATATACTAACTAGTAATATGCCCGTGCTAAACGCTACGGTGCAATTCTATTTGTCTTCAATAACTTTTAAAATTTGATGTTAGCAAAAAAAAAAACTATTTTTCTATGGTCAATACTGAGGAGAGGCGGATAGAATCGACTCGCTCGAGTTCTCGGCCCAACCGTATCATTTGAAATGTGGCCTCTTGAGGCCACAATATTTTTTTCGTCAGAATGGGTTGAAACCGCCCGCAATTTTAATGTGTTACTGCCCATCCAAGCACATCTTTTAATTTACGCCCTGAAAAGTCAACACAATTTCCACCGGTTTTGGCCCAATTATTGTTCAAGCAGGTAAATGGTTAGAAGTAGAG